GCGTGACCATCCCCCCTGGGGGGGGATTTCTCGCTTTCTGTCTCTCTGTCTGTCGGGCGAGCGCACGCGCCCTACAGTGAAAACTCTCTCCAAAAAAAAAAAAAAAAAGAACTAAGGGGCAAGGGAACCAGCAGTTAGCGTAATGGCTATGTCGCTGGACTCCCCCGTAGTCGACCATGGTTCGTGTCCCGGACCCAGTGGCTTACAACTCACGCCGGGCGCGTGTGCGTGCGTGCCCAAGATCCCGAGAGGAGAATGGAGGAGAAGGGATTGCGGCGTGACCATCCCCCCTGGGGGGGGATTTCTCGCTTTCTGTCTCTCTGTCTGTCGGGCGAGCGCACGCGCCCTACAGTGAAAACTCTCTCCAAAAAAAAAAAAAAAAAGAACTAAGGGGCAAGGGAACCAGCAGTTAGCGTAATGGCTATGTCGCTGGACTCCCCCGTAGTCGACCATGGTTCGTGTCCCGGACCCAGTGGCTTACAACTCACGCCGGGCGCGTGTGCGTGCGTGCCCAAGATCCCGAGAGGAGAATGGAGGAGAAGGGATTGCGGCGTGACCATCCCCCCTGGGGGGGGATTTCTCGCTTTCTGTCTCTCTGTCTGTCGGGCGAGCGCACGCGCCCTACAGTGAAAACTCTCTCCAAAAAAAAAAAAAAAAAGAACTAAGGGGCAAGGGAACCAGCAGTTAGCGTAATGGCTATGTCGCTGGACTCCCCCGTAGTCGACCATGGTTCGTGTCCCGGACCCAGTGGCTTACAACTCACGCCGGGCGCGTGTGCGTGCGTGCCCAAGATCCCGAGAGGAGAATGGAGGAGAAGGGATTGCGGCGTGACCATCCCCCCTGGGGGGGGATTTCTCGCTTTCTGTCTCTCTGTCTGTCGGGCGAGCGCACGCGCCCTACAGTGAAAACTCTCTCCAAAAAAAAAAAAAAAAAGAACTAAGGGGCAAGGGAACCAGCAGTTAGCGTAATGGCTATGTCGCTGGACTCCCCCGTAGTCGACCATGGTTCGTGTCCCGGACCCAGTGGCTTACAACTCACGCCGGGCGCGTGTGCGTGCGTGCCCAAGATCCCGAGAGGAGAATGGAGGAGAAGGGATTGCGGCGTGACCATCCCCCCTGGGGGGGGATTTCTCGCTTTCTGTCTCTCTGTCTGTCGGGCGAGCGCACGCGCCCTACAGTGAAAACTCTCTCCAAAAAAAAAAAAAAAAAGAACTAAGGGGCAAGGGAACCAGCAGTTAGCGTAATGGCTATGTCGCTGGACTCCCCCGTAGTCGACCATGGTTCGTGTCCCGGACCCAGTGGCTTACAACTCACGCCGGGCGCGTGTGCGTGCGTGCCCAAGATCCCGAGAGGAGAATGGAGGAGAAGGGATTGCGGCGTGACCATCCCCCCTGGGGGGGGATTTCTCGCTTTCTGTCTCTCTGTCTGTCGGGCGAGCGCACGCGCCCTACAGTGAAAACTCTCTCCAAAAAAAAAAAAAAAAAGAACTAAGGGGCAAGGGAACCAGCAGTTAGCGTAATGGCTATGTCGCTGGACTCCCCCGTAGTCGACCATGGTTCGTGTCCCGGACCCAGTGGCTTACAACTCACGCCGGGCGCGTGTGCGTGCGTGCCCAAGATCCCGAGAGGAGAATGGAGGAGAAGGGATTGCGGCGTGACCATCCCCCCTGGGGGGGGATTTCTCGCTTTCTGTCTCTCTGTCTGTCGGGCGAGCGCACGCGCCCTACAGTGAAAACTCTCTCCAAAAAAAAAAAAAAAAAGAACTAAGGGGCAAGGGAACCAGCAGTTAGCGTAATGGCTATGTCGCTGGACTCCCCCGTAGTCGACCATGGTTCGTGTCCCGGACCCAGTGGCTTACAACTCACGCCGGGCGCGTGTGCGTGCGTGCCCAAGATCCCGAGAGGAGAATGGAGGAGAAGGGATTGCGGCGTGACCATCCCCCCTGGGGGGGGATTTCTCGCTTTCTGTCTCTCTGTCTGTCGGGCGAGCGCACGCGCCCTACAGTGAAAACTCTCTCCAAAAAAAAAAAAAAAAAGAACTAAGGGGCAAGAGGCAGAAGATGCGGGCGGGGGGCAGGGGTGGCAAAGACTCCCAGAAGGGAGGAGGTTGTGGGGCCGGCAGGTGGCACGGTGGTTAAGGATGCTGGAATCCCACATGGGTGTGCTGGACTCCCACATGGCTGACCACGGTTCGAGTCCCAGACCTGGCAGTTTGCTTTCTCACGTTCTATCTCTGTCCCTCTCTGGTCAAATTAAAAAATAAGTAAATAAATAAAGTTAAATAAAATAATTCTTTTTTAAAAAAAAGAAGAAGGGAGGAGATTGTGAACTAAGGATGAGGCAAGCAAGCTTTCACTCTCAGGTCCCTCAAGAGACCCAGATGAGGAGGGGCAGAGACCAGAGGCCCACAGAAAGGAAAGACTCTGAGACTAATGGAAAAGAGACCCTGAAAACTGAGATGGAGACCCAGCTCCATTTCCCTGACAAGGAGGTGGCCAGAGGCCAGGAAGGACACAGGCCAGGGTGGGGGCTTGAAAGTAGTGGCTGTGGACACGGAGGGACCCAGGGAGCACCCAGGGAAAACTGGGAGGGAGAGCCTGCTTCCTCAAATCCTCTTGAGGGCTCTTATGTATTGTAGGGGGAGAGGGAGTCCCACCCAGGGCAGCCTGGGGGAAGCAAGGGGGTCAAACTTTACCCTTTTCTTTCTTTCTTTTTTTAAAGAGAGGTTTTTACTATAGGGCATGTGCGCTCGCCAGAAAGAGAGAGAGACAGAAAGACAGAAAGACAGAAAGCGAGAAATCACCCCCCAGGGGGGATGGCCACGCTGCAATCCCTTCTCCTCCATTCTCCTTTCGGGATCCTGGGCACACACACACACATGCCCGGGGTGAGTTTAAGCCACCAGATCCAGGACTCAAACCGCAGTTGACTACATGGGAGTCCAGCGACATAGCCATTATGCCATCTGCTGGTCCCCAAACTTTACCCTTTTCCAGTGCTGCTTCTATGCGGAGAAACCTGTGAGCCCAGCTCAGGACAAGCCATAGCCCACAACCCTGAACAATCCATGACATAGTTTTTTCCCCCTGAAAGTCCAGGCAAGCATCTTCTTTCTGTGACTTGGCTTCTGTAGCGAACTAAATGTCGGAACCAAAAAACAAATGGCCACATCTAATCCCTGACCCCCAGACTCAGTGAATGTGAAAAAATAAAAAGGACGGGAACCAGCAGTTAGCGTAATGGCTGTCACTGGACTCCCGCGTAGTACTGTCTCTATGTCTCTGTCTGTCTGGCGAGCGCACGCGCCCTATAGCGAAAACCTCTCCTAAATAAATAAATAAATAAATAAATAAATAAATAAATAAATAAAAAGGATATTTAAAAAAAGAATATTTACAAATGTAATTAAAATAAGGATGTCAAGATGGAATATTCTGGATTGTTGGGGGCCCTAAAGGCAATGACAAGTGTCCTTACAAGAGACAGAAGAGAATGCCAGGCAGGTAGAGATGGGAGCTCTGCAGTCACAAGGTGGGGAAAGCCTGGGGCCACCAGAGTCTGGAAGATACAAGGAAGGCCTTCTCCTCTCCAGCTTTCAGAGGGAGTACAGCCCTGCTGACACCTCCCTCTGGGACTTCTGGCCTCTGTAACTGGGAGAGAGCAAATTCCTGTTTTCTAAGCCACCAAGTTTGTGGTCATTTGTTACAGCAGTCCTAGGAAACATGGTTCTCTATTCTGTAAAATGTCTGGAGTTTCCAGGGACCTGTTGGCCCTGAGAATCTCCAAACTAAACCTTATTTGGCAAGGAGGGAAGTTCCAGGTGTAGCCAAAAGGTGTGCTTTGTAACTCACCCCCTACCTCAACCTGCACAGGGCGGATGGTGAGGTTTGGTGGGAGGACTCGGTAAAGAGGAGGAAGCCGAGCTGCAGCATCTCCTGCTCCTCAGAGAGCCCACCTCAGCCCAGAGCACGTGCCTTCCCACCCCAGCTGCAGACAGGTCTAAACGACCGACCGAAGCTGACCCGGACCACATTTCTAAAAGCTAGGAACTTTTTAAAAACAGCAAGTCTGCCTTTCTGAATTCCGGCTTGCAGACATCAACCAAGCTTCATGGCGATTCCTTTCCCACAGCCTTCTTCCTCCTCTTCTCCACTCTTGGGGGACTTGAGCGGCTGGAGACCCCCGGAGCACAGGCCTGGAAAACACTCCTTCCAGCCCTCCTTCTCCTCCCAACACAGCTGGAGGGGGGAGGGGAGGTCAGCAGGGTTCATAAAGGCCAGATGTTACCCCACCCCCACCCGCACCCACACCCCCAGGGAAAGAAAAATGAAAGGAGACAGTTTTTAAATCAAACAAAACTTTTGTGGTCCAAAACAGTTTTTCCTCAAGAATCTGCTCTATGCAAACAATCACTTTTTACAAAGCATTTTCACAGAAAAGGAGACAAGTCCTTCCCCAGTGTTGAACGTGGGAATTGTTCCTCCCTCGCCCCGTTTTTTTTGGGGGGGCAAGGGGTCAATATTCATGAATGTGAGCAGAAGGGTCTCTAACTTCCCCTGACCTCACCTGGGTGGGGAGGAAAGCGATTCTACCCCTCTCCAACCACGGGGGATCCTCCCTCCCAGCTCAAGGGCGTGATCCAGGCCTATCTCCCTCCACCTAGAAAACAGAACCTCTGACCCCAAGCCTAATCCCCTGGCCCTGCCTCCTTCGGATCCATCAGATTCCTGACAACTTTTGAAATGCATGAGGCCTGTGGGGGGGTGGGACCAGCGGTACCTCAGCCCAGGTCCCACCCAAGCCCAAAGGCCCCTTCAAGCCCCAGGGAACCCTGTGGTTAGGCCAGGAGCCCTTTCACATACCCCTCTGCAAAGAGCAGCTTGTTTCATCCCCACCCTGGAAGGGGGCTGAATTTGGGTGTCCAAGAATGGACACAGGCCTGCTCTCCACCTTCACCCCCACCCCTGCCCATTTGTAAATCGGTGAAGGACCTCGAGAGGCGACTTGTTTGGTCTGATTTTATTGATTTCTTCCACCTTCCATTACTTTCCCTGGGATGGTCTCCTCTGGCCCCTTTCCCAGGCGTCCCAGGCAAAGGCGGCACTCTCTGAGGGCGAGGTCCCTCAACCTGACCCTCTCAGTATGAGAAGCAAACGAGGATAGGGGGCTGATTTCATAGGTGGGGAGCTCTGTTTCACCCATGGGACCTTAGAAACCAAAAGCAAACAGGAAATACTGAACCGGGAAACTCCAAAACTGGACAAAAGGGAAAAGCTCGTGGCGAAGACAAGATCTCACTATCTGGAGGTCACCTGGACTTGGGAGGGGGCTAGGATGGGAGCAAGAAGATGACATTCCCCTTGCCCAAACTGACACTCCTCCCTTCACCGGTAAGGCGCCAGTGGTCCCAGGAGCACTTGGGAAGGCCTCAGGGGAGTGAAAGGGTTAAAGGCCCAGGCGGGGGGGGTGGGGGATGCCCCCAGGGAGCTGCCAATCACCTCCCCACCCCCACCACAGCCCCCACACCCCCGGGCTGGCCTACAGACACAGAAACAACCGGTTTGTCCGTCACCAAGGTCTCTCTTTCTTCCTTGTGGTCTTTGAGCGGTGGCCGTCTTTGCTCCCCCTGGGGTGAAGGCCCTGCCCGCAAAGATCCGGGATGGAGGGGGGGAGGGCCTGGAATCTATTTCATTGAGCCTTTTTCGGTTAAGCCTTCTCCCCACTCCAGCCCCGGGATCCTCGGCGAAGGATGAGGGGAAGGGAATGTCACCCTGACCACTTAGGTGCTTGAAGATCACTGTCATTTGAGGTCCCTCTGCTCATAAAACGTAATGGAAGAGGTCAGACAAACGTGAGCAACGAGGCTCTCTCCGGGAGCAAGCAGTGTGACCGCGGCCCCAGCTTTACACCCCGGGCAGCAGCGGTTCCACGCTCAGAGTTCCTCCAAGTTGATGCCCCAGAATTTGAGGCCAGGGGGCTCAGGGACAGCGGGACCCCCCATCTTCCACCTCCACAGCGGGTGGGCTGGCGGGGGCTTAGCGTCTCCCTGGAGGCGAAGCGAGGACGCCGGCCCTAAGTCTCCGTCCTCCCCCACCACCAGGGCCGGGGGACAGGGGAAGCAGTCGAGGAGGCTGAAGGTGCTGGTGGTCGGGAGCGTCGGTACCGGGCGGCGGGGCTGCGCGGGGCGCGGGGGCGGCGCCGGCCGCCGGCGCTTC